GTTTCCGCTGTGGTTCTCTTCACACTGGGAGGTGGGGGGCGGGGAGCCCGAGGGTGGAGGAGTTTGGAAGGGAGAAAGGGAGGAAGGTCCCAAGCCTGAGGAAGGTCGGTTTTCCTCACGTGACAACACTGAGTAGGCCGCACTGGAGCGGAGGCAGTGGTGAGCCCTTTTAGCTGGCTAGGGGCCCTACTCGAATGCCACCTTGGTGAGGGGCTCACACTGCCCCCAATCACAAGTCTTGGGTCTTCTGGAACTTCCACAGTTGTTGCTCACAGTCCTCTTCATTCCAGGCCCAAGTTTAAATCCCTCCTCCTCAGGTACCCCCAAACCTGGCTCCACGGAGCCCCCAGTCTGTGTCTTTTTCCCAGGCTCTTCTTTGAGCCCTGGCTCTGCCCACTCCTCGCCAAGGGGCACAGAGAGAGAGAGAGGGAGAGAGAGAGATACTCAGTACAGTTTCAGGGTTTGGGCCCTTGTCCCTCCAAGAGCCCGTGTCTGCGAGGAAGGCCCCTCTGGGTGGAGGTGGGTCTCACCACGCAAGTTCAGCCCCTCCTCACAGGAACTCAAGAAACGTCTGTTACCCCAAAACAGCCTCCCCTGGATGCCGCAGCACGTGGGGTATCACCACAAGCCAGCACAGCTGTGGAACTGGAAAGCCACCTAATGCAGCCTTATTTGGGTCTCCCACTGACCCTCAAAACCTCTCCTGCTGCCCGCCCTCCCGTGGCTGCACAGACACCTGGGATGCTGCTCGGTAGGCAGCAGTTCTGCACCTCTTCACATCACACAACTCAGTCTCACTCAGGTCCAGGCCCCTGTCATGGCCAGCCCTCCAGCTGTGCAACCCCACGCCAGCGCAGCTCAGGTAGGGGCCTGCAGCCAGCAGGGGCTGTGGTCGGCCTCCCCTCCAGCTGGAGCTGACCTGGAGCTGCGCTCTGGGTTTGGCAGGGGTCCCTCCTGTGGGTGCCTCCACGGGTCCTCAGAGTCTGGCCATCACTGGGCACCACCCTGCTGTCCCCCTGACTAGGTATTTCACACGGGCCTCAGGAGGGGCCAAGGAGCCCCAACACCCCCCCGCAGTTCCATCTTCTCTTGGCTGAGGTCTGTTCATCCTCCAGGCAGCCTCCTGGGACGGCCTGAGGGCCCACGCTGACTCTCCCTCACACGAGGCCCCATCTGGGCCAGCAGCCCTCTCCCTGGCTCCAGCAGCAAAACAGCCAGCCTGTCTCTTGCTCTCTGACTTTGCAGGGGGGGTGGGACATCAGTCCACTGGATTTCTCAACCTGCAGGGGACGCTGTGAAGCCCCCTGAAGGCTCTCTTTAAAACCTCCTTCCTTCTGGCTTAAAGTGAAGGGAAGGCATCCCATCCCTACCCGTGGGCTCAGCTCACCTCCCCCAAATCTCCCTCCTCTAACCTCAACACCTGACTCCTGGGCACCCTCAGTGTAGTGAGGCTTCAGGCAGCCTAAATTCTGCCTCACTCGTGGGCAGAGGTCCGGGGCTGGTGTGGGGTCATCTCTGTGCACCCCCCGCCCTCTCCTCACCCGGTGCTGCAGGCTCAGTCAGTGTTTGCAAGCTGGCTGAATGCTAACTGCTCCAGGAAGTGCAAGGCAGGACTGGGGACCACGGGGAAGGGGCTTCATTCCAGCAGCATGTGGTGTGTGCACCAGGCTGGCCACCAGCCCCCTGGTTCAGTCCCTGGCATTGTGGCCTGGAGAGACCGGGCACTAGGAGCTCAGAGCAGGGAGGCCCCCTCTCTGGGAGGGTGGAGAAGGACGCTGTCCATGACCACCCAGAACAGGGCCTCAGGCCAACCCCAGAGAATTCAGGTATCGCCTGAAATGTCACTGTTAGCAGTTGATTCCTTTGGGTAGGTTGTGCCCTTTCTACTCAGCCACATCCAGTCTCTGTGTCTTAGTTTTCTCGGCGGTAAATATGTGAATAACAGTGACTACCTCTTAGTTAATTCATGTGAGGTGCTTAGCACACTTCCTGGTTTATACTCAGAGCTCAATAAATGTTAATTCTCTTTGTCCCCTCAGGTAGCCCGAGCAGGCTGCTAGCCATGTGGCCCTTCCTTTTCACACCTGGAGCCAGCCAGAACTGCCTTGGCCAGCCACCTGGGACCTCAGATGCCCTGGCCCATGTGGCATTTCTTTGACAGAATCCGCCACTCTTGGCTCACGGGGCCTTTGTTCTGGGATGGCCAGGCTAGAGCACCTGGCAGAACTCCCAGGGCCTCCCATCTGTCATTTCTCCTGCCACAGGGACGGCAAGGACATTTGGATCAAATCTCCTTGGAGACAGGGCCTCCCTCCCACATGCCCACAGGGAACAGGGACTGGCATTGTGCCCAGGAGGAAACCTCCAAGGCCACCAGGACCAGGGGACCTGAATCCAAAGCCTGGATGGATTCAGCTTATGAGACCTTGAATCACCCATGCGGCTTCTCAGAGCTTCAATTACTCAACTGTGAATCAAAGACGATAACGCCATCCCCTTCAGGGACGCCATGACAGGTGAGAATATGAGCACGAAGGACCTTTGTTTCACACATAAAGTAGGATTAGCTTTTTAAGATCCCAGCATTTTAAAATCAGGGAAATATGTAATCTATTTTTCTCTGTGGCTATTTCTGTCTCTCTGTCACCTGCCAAGTGCCATGTCCATTCACAAGTAACGAAAGCTAACATGCATCCTCTCCAAACTCAGCTCCTTTGAAAAGTCAGTGTTCAATTGGCTGGGCCAAGGTTTCTGGATACTAAATTCAAAGAGTGGCAGACTTTTCCCAATTAGTGGGGAAAATCAAAGTTAATTTTTTAGGACTAATACTTCAGATAATGGTGGACTAGGTCATTTGGACTAAATTCCCAACTGAGGATAACTTAAAAGCTGCTCAAAATATATATACATATATTTTAAGTCTGATTGGGGGTATCAGGGGGCAAACAAGCCAGTGAAGAATCACAGGGCCAAGATCTGGGAAAAGAAGGAAAACCAGAGACATGCGCCAGCATCTGGGGCTACTTTCTCCCTAGGGGGTCCACTGATCCTGGAAGATACTGCAGAGATGCTGAGCAGAGCTGTTAACAGCCTCTGGAGCTAAGGAGGTAAAAACTAGGCCCACCAAGAGGAGAAGGGTCCCTCTGAGGGACTACAAATCATCTCAGTCCCTGAAAGTAGATTAAAGTGATCTTGGTTTGCTAGATCCCATCTGTCCGATATAAACATAATCTTCAGGGAGGAAGATAACTTCATCCTACTCCTTGATTTATTTATACAGGTTTACAGATATAATGTGTGGTACTCAATCAAAAATTACCAAGTATGTGAGGAGACAAGACGAAAGTAACAAAAACCAAGAGAAACAACAGACACTAGAAATAGACTCATGGAGGCTCCACATTAGTGAGTTATTGAATTTTAAAAAAACTATGTTTAACGTACTCAAACATATAAAAGATAAGGTAGGCAATTTTGATAGAGAACTGGAAATAATTTTTTAATCATTTCTATTTCTTTTTTTATCCTATCAATTTCATTCTTCAGATGCAGGGTACCACAGTTCCCCTGCACAGGGCAACAGATAAGAAACAAGCAAAAAAACCTCTGGGAAAAGCCAAAAAGAGGCGATTGTGCTATATTCAAGGATGCTCGTTTGAGAGTGTGCTTGTAATAGTGACAATACATTGTGTATGCACCATCCTAATTTCTAATAGCAAATTTGTTGCTGGTTTATGAGATGCAATTAAACATAGACATCTCCTGAAATGCAGCAGACTACAATCTTAAAGCGCCTTTGAACAGGGACCCATCTCCCTCTTCCCTGTACCTGCCCAGACCCAGCTCCGCCCCCAGCCCAGAGCAGTCATGGCAAAAAAATAGCAGCATTCAAGCATTTGTTTGTGCCAGGACACTGCCAAGGGCTTTCTGTGCATTATCACGCTTTTCACAGCCCTATGAGGAGGCTCTGACTATTCTCCTCATTTTATAAATGGAGAAACTGAGGTCCTGGGGACCCACAGAACATGTTCAAGGGGCCCCACCCAATAAGCATCAGAGCGAGGATGTGAACAGAGGTCTGCCTGCTCCCAGACTGGGCTCTCTCCCCATCTGCTGATTGCTGGAGTAATCCCTGGACGCCTGCAGTCAGAGGAGGCCCTGGAGTCTCCTCTCCACAAACACTTACTAAACACCAACCGCACACAGGGCCCTAGCCTGGGAAACCTGGTATCAAGGCCAAGGCTCAGGATAGTGAGAACACTTCAGTGGTTCAAAGGTCCTGTCCATCTCTTCTTCTCTCTCCTCTTCCTCTTTCCTGTTTCTGGAATGCAGGGTCCAGCATGCAGGAAGGGCTCAGGGATGGACTAGGGATGTCCCTATATCACATGCATAGGACGGGAGGAGTAACGGCCACAGTGGAAAATCCTTTTATGTCCACCAGATCCCTCCTGGGAAAGCTGGGTGGGGGCTGTGGAAGATGCCACCCTCTGGGGAGCTCAGGGGAAGCCCCTGCTCTGGACCAGGTCCCAGGTCCCTTCCTAGGGAGCCAGTGCTCAGAGAGGAGCTGAGGGACAGCAGCACTATTTCTAACCTGGGGTGCAGGCAGGGGGCTCAGCCTTGAGACAGGCCTCTCTCACTCCCCGGTGGGGCCAGAAATCCAGGCCAGGGTCTGTGGAGGGCTCGGGAGGTCCTGGCCTGCTTGGTGGCTTTACTGATAAGTTTGGTTGGGCAGGAGGGGTCCCCAGGGGCCGGCAAGGTAGTGGGATAAAGATAAGGTAAAGAGGGAACAAAAGGGAAAAGGGCTTCCCTGGGGGGAGGACGCAAGGGTTGGGGAGGGGACAGAGTGAAGTTGGGGCAAGTGGGGAGGGCAGATGAGGAAGCGGCAAGGAGCTGGAGAGCAGCAGGAGGAGGCATGGGCAGAGGGAGGGGCCGTGGTGACAGAGTGGGGCAGGACAGGGCCTCTGTCCCACCCAAGGGGCTGAGGAAGGGCTTCTAACAGGTGGAGACAGGCTTCTCCTGGTGCTGCTATATTGCAGCAAGGAGGATAAGGGATAGACACCTGGAAGGACCTGTTGGCTCTGTAGCTCAACAGAAGTTAAGTGCATTTTTGCGGATGAGTGAAGGGGTCATGAGCAGAAAGAGGGTGGAAAGGGAACAGGTAAGATGGGGTGAGGTAACTGGAGTGGGGGGCAATCCAGGCCTGCATGCGGTCTGGGCTCTGGGGAAAGACTGACAGGAGTCCTCTGGTCCAGGCCAAGTCAAGGGGGCAGGCAGCACCCTGGGCATCACCGTGCAGCCAGCAAACATCCCTGTTACGGAGTAAGAACCAAACAGGTGAGGGAGAGGGAGGGGAGAGCAGGGCTCGGGCCTGTCAGTCCCCTGCTGGACGGGACCAACACCCAGACCGCAAGTCCAGAACCTTCCTGCCCACATCCCAACCCCTTCCAGGTCCTTCCCTCCCTTGTCCCTGGCACCAAGGAATTAAGGGCGTGGGGAAACTCACCCACTGGGGTCCTACAGCTTCAGGGAGGTGACCCGGGGGATGTGGAAGAGTTGAGTCTCCTCAGAGCTGGTGGAGCTATGGCATCGCAGAAAGAGAGCAAGTGAGCCCCCAGGCGCAGAGCCTCAGCTCCGACACAGGGACAAACCCAGAGTCCGGAGTTTCCCACTTCAGAAGCTCTCCAGGATAGAAACAATTCCAAGAAGCTATGTCCGGGTGGATGTGCTGCAGCAAGAAGGCTATTGGGCAGACATATGGAAGAACTTTCTGGCCCTGGAGCTCCTCAGAGTGTGTGACTCTTCAGGGCTGGGCATGAGCCTCCCCTGAGGTCTCAGGAGGGGATGTGGCAAGGGGCTGGGGCCTGGCGGCTGGAAGTCTCCTTCCTGGGTCCCTGCTGCCCCCCCATGGCTCTGGCAGCCTCCTTACTTGAGGCGTTTCCGGATGGGACGGAAGTATTTAGAGGTCTTGACAGCAAAGATGATGCTGGGGATCAGGAAGAAGGTGCACCATGCCAGGCAGAACCAGAAGGCGTTCTGGAACAGAAGATGTGAGGTCAGCTCACCTTGGCTGGGCAGCGACTTCTTCCCACCGTGCTCTACACCCCCAGTCCCCCCACTGACTCAACGAGGGGCATGGGGAAGTATTCTCAGAGCTGAGGGGAAGGGCTGGGGTGCCGGCCTGGGGGCAAGGGCCCTGCCTTCCTCATGTCCTGCTCACGCTGCCCCTCCCATGGGGGCCTCAATGTCCATGAGCCCTGATGAGCTGGGGGCTCTCACCCAGGGGTCAGCTACCATGTCACACAGGATCACACGGCCATTGTCCAGGGCTCCAGAGAAGGGCTGGCAGGTGGCGATGCGCTGAGTAACCTGCAGTGTCGACATGAGGCAGGTACACGCAGAGACACCCAGACCCACAGGTATATACCCCATATTCAGTGAGAGACGTTAACAGGGACACAGTTGGGAGCCACTGCAGCTGTACACAGACACAGATGCAGGAGCACAGAGAGGAGGACACACTGACCTAGGTGCATTGCTCAGCTCCTGCCTTTCCATCCTATTCACTAGTCTGTATTAAGCCCTGTTGTGTGCCCAGTGCTGTGCTTTAAGTCACACTCTCACCGGAGAGGCAACACATGTATGTGTGCATGCACATACATACATACTGCACACACATGTGCATGCACACACACATATGCTCACATAGTTGTGCATACACACACACACACACACACACACACGCAGACACAGTCAGGGTTAAGCAAGACCCCTGCTGGCCTAGTGTGGGAGCCAGAGAGCTTGCTGTGGTCAGCAAGGCCTGCAGGAGGAGGTGGACTTCGAGGACTGGACTGGCCTCAGACAAGCTGGGCGAGGGGCCCAGCATGAGGCAGGGCATGAGGGCAACATGTGGACAGCACGTTCTAGAAGGCCACAGCTAGCCTGGCTCACACTCAGGCCTCAGAGAAGGGCTGGGGCAGAGGTTGGGTGGGCAGAGCCCGGGCAGAGCAGGGGCACGGATGCCAGGCTTGGGATTTTGGGCTTAATCCTGAAGGCCTAGTGCACCCTCAAGCGGGTCTAGGGGGCAGAGGAGGGGAGAGGAGTGATGAGCTGGTACCGCTGGGAGCTTGCTTGAGGCCAGGAGGGGTCTGAGCCCTGACTCACCTCCTCTCTCACCCAGGCCACGTACTGGGAGAAGTAGCCCATCTCCCGGGTCAGGAAACACTCACTTTCCTGCAGAAAGGAGAGGAGCCCTGGGCTGGCAGGAGTCCCAGGAGCCAGCACCTCCACCCCCGACGCCTGGCACCATCAGGACAGGCCAAGCTGGCTTTCCTGGGAGCCAGGGTGAGCGGACAGGGCTGGAGGAGAAGCCTGGGCTGGGAGCCCCATGTGCCTTAGCCCTGCAACCCACCTCTGGCTCTGAGGCAGCCCCCAGCCCCGTCCCAGCCCTTCGCTCACATTCTTCAGGATATGGGTAGCCCAGATCGGCAGCTCTCCTTTTAGGTAAGTGACTTTGTCCAGGACATCTGAGGTCTCCAGCTGGGGGAGAATGGAGGGGCTCAACTCGGTGCCCTGCTCAGTCAGGGCACAGCCACTCATTCACCCATCCATTCCTTCATTCATCATAGAACATACAACATATTCACCTTGGGGCGGGGTGGGGGGTGTGAGACCCTAAGGACACAGAAGCTGAAGACGGTGGTCCTCGATGATCTGCTCTCCCACCCCCATTTCTTCCCACCCCCACACTCAACATGCAGTGGGACTGGTAGAGCAGGCAAGGCCCTAAGCCAGCTGGGCCCTCACCTCCTTCCTCCCTGTGCTGCCCACCTGCTCCACCCCACCCTCCCGGTCCCCAGCAGCCACCTGGAGACTTGGGGCAGAGGATGCCAGGGCCCTGACACTGAGGTTGAGTGTGGCCTGTGGAGAAGAGATCAAGGCTGGTTAGGGGAAGGGATGCGCAAGGAGGGAGCAGTTCCCGGCGCTTCCCTCCTCTTTCATTCTCCCACCCTGCCTCCCCTCTCTCCCAGGCCCCAGGCTCCCTGGGCCTCCAAACTTACCATGAGGCTCTGCTGGGGGAGGACCTTCCTCTGATAGAGGCTTCTGAGCCCTTGGGCCTCCTCCTGCAACTGCTGTCCCAGCACAGAACTGCCCTGAGGGGAGACAGACCAGAATGACACTCTGCCCAGGACAGAACAGGCTTTGCTAGCATACTATTTACTGAGTTGTTGAACCAGACATACCGAGTAGGGGTGGGGAGTGCTGGGCTCAGAGGCAGAAAACCGAGGCCTCCTTCAGCTCCTGGGCCTGACCTGGGTTTGGGGGCCTAAACCCAAGTTCTAGGTCCACTCCCAGCTTGCTCAGTGCCCCAAAGTCAGCCACAGAACCTGTCTGAGCTGCAGTGGCATCTGCTGAAACTGAGGAATGCTCCTTGCTCTACCCGTCATGCAGAGTTGGTGTGGGGTCTAAGGGATGCCTCGAAGAGAACTTTTTAAACTCTAAATATTTATAAATACAAAATGCTACTTTTTCCAGTGGAGTTTTAGCTCCTAGAGGGCAGCTGTCATGATATCTGCTCCATGGTGCTGTCCTCACACCTGTTGCTGCAGATTCCACAAGCAGTGTGCACTTAGAAATGGTTCTCCCACTATGTGATGTCAGACCAGTTGCTTCTTCTGATCTGAGGTGGAGGATAATCCACTTTACAAGTGAAGAAACCGAGGCTCAGAGATTTTGAATGACTTGCCCAAGGCCACACAGCCGATTGGTGGCAGAGCTTGCGTCAGAACTGACTCTGCAACACCCTTAAACCCAAGCAGGGGATCCAGAGGTTCAGCCCTCAATCCCCTGCCTTTGCCCTTGCCCCGTCCCCAGTCCGAGCACTCCCACCCTCTCCCACCTCCCAGGCCTCTCTGGGACTCCTGCCTGCCCACCAGGGTATCTGTTCCCTTCTCACTTGGGTCTGGGCCAGTCCTTGCAGCTCCTGGGCCAGCTTCTCCATGTCCGTGTTCACCACGGGCTTCTGGATCTGGAGACAGACAGGAAGGGCCAAGAGGGGATGGACCCTGGCTCCCCCAGCCTCCGAATTCCCAGTCTTTTCAAAAGTACTCCACACCAGCTAAGTCTATTGTGACACATCAGTCATGGTGGGTTTGAGCTGAAACTGTGAAATATATCAGACACCTCCCATTAGGACAGGAAAAAAAAAAAAAAACAAAAACGAGGTACCCTCTGGTGTAACCCAACAAAGAGGCGGCTTCCCACCAGCACTCGCCACAGCAGTGGGTTCAGGACCATGAACAGCGACACATGCTGTTGAGTGGGGGCGCATTCATTCCTGCTCAGCCCAGGTGGTGGCACCTGTCTGGGGACACCCTCAACAGGAAGAGGCCCAGGGACATGTGGAGGAGTCCAGGGAAGGTGGAGGGCCAGGACAAGGGGAGACATCTCCCATCCAACTCCTCTGTGGGCCCCTCTGCTCTCCCGCTGTCTGGCCTGAGGTGCCCACTGCTGACCTGAACAAGGAAGCCAGCATAGTGGATGTTCTCGAGCCCACTGCTCTGCAGGGCCTTCAGGTCCTGGCGGGCAGCTGAGCTCAGCAAGTCCAGATTCTTCACTTCCAGTTTGAGGCTCTGTAACTCCTGCTGTAGCTTGGCAGTGTACTGGGAGGGAGGTGACAAGGTGAGGGGCATGCCCAGTCACTGAGCCAGGTCCCCAGAGCTGCTATCATAGGTGAGGGGTCACCAGGCTCTCAGGGCCCTCCTTTTGAATAACTAGGTCCCGCACCCCTGGACACACCAGCCCCAGACAGCTCTCAGCAGGCCTCTGCTTCCCACGCCACCCCCACTCCAACCCACCCCACTAAGACCCAGCTCTCCTTCAGCACCTATCTGGCTGCTGAACAGCAACACAGACCTTCCCTGCCACTCAATTGAAAACAGCTTCCCCAGCCCGGCTTGATCACATCTCCTTGCGTTAAGGCCTTCACAGCACCTGTCGCTCTAATATTATTTATTTGTGTACCTGTTTATTGCCATCAGCTCCATGAGAGCGGTACCTCGTCTGCCCACTCCGTACCCAACCCTCAGTGTCCAGAGTAGAGGCTCACACGTAGTGGGTGCAGTACAAGTTTGTTGAATGTGTAAAAATGAATGAATGAATGGACACAAGCACATTTCCAAGACAGACCACAGTTTAAAAAAGGACTCGGCATTTTCCAACCATCACTGCAGGAGATTTAAAGGGCATGGAAGTCAGCCTCAGTGTTTAACAGATGAGAAACTGAGGCCAGAGAGGAGCGTTCACTTGCCCGAGGGTTCGCAGTAAGTAGAGAATGGAGCCCAATGCTGATCCCCTCTCCCCCTCCCACCATGCTGCCTTCCCCAGGGGAAGAAAAGGCCTAATCCTCTCAGAGATGGGGTTTTATGGCAGCGTTTCAGGCATCAGTAACCAACAGGCACAGGCAGAGCCCTCCTGGCACCCTGGAAAGCACACCTTGTCTTATTCATCTCTGCATCGTGAGCTCGTTACTATCGCCTTGGAGGACAAGTACTCTTAAGGTCACATTTGGTATGTTGCCAGATGGCCCCCAAGGAATGCTCAGTCCCTCTGAATCGGAAGCTCTATCTGTTCAGACTCTTCTGTGAGCTGGACCCCTCTCTTCCCAGGACCAGGGCTGAGACCCCTCCCCCCTGAGATCCATGACTCCCAGTCAGCAGAACAAGGGGTCCCCTCTGCCCGGGCCCCCTGCTGCCGCCCTCCCTGGCCAGCCTCCACCCATGGGGCAGTGTCTGTGGCCAAGCACTGGGATATTGCCTGCTCTCGGACCTCTCGTCTGGTTAGAGACGCTGAAGGACGAGGCAGCTAAGGCATTATGCAAATAGTCCCAGGTTATACAGCGCAAGGCGTGGAGTTGGGACTGAAATCTGGACCATGTGACTATGCTATTCCATAGGCTGAGAGTGGGTGGTGGAGTCAAGAGGCCTTGGAAGAGTTTCTGGAGAGGATGCAGAATCAGAAGTTGGCATGCTAGGAGTCGGGGACGGGCGAAGAGGCAGGTGGGAGAAATGTGGGTTTTCCCAGGATAGGCTTGGGAAAGGCTCCCCGGGGACCCTGGGAGTCAAGGCAGCTCTCCTCCCACCTCACTTAGGCCTGGAGAGAGGAAAGGAGGGAATCTTTTCCAGCTTCTGGGCACCCTTAGGAGAACCACATTCTCAAAGTATGTCCCCTCACGTGAAGTAGCTCTTTCTTTTCTTTGTCCCAGAACTGGCTCCTGCCAGCTGGATAAGTCTCTCCAGTCCTACACACCAAGTTCCGGCAAAGTCCAGTGGTTAAGGGAATGGGCTGGGGGGTCGAATCCTGCCACCACCTACTGGCTGTGAGAGCTCAGCAAGGGGCCTGCGGTGAGCCCTCCCCCAGTGATACCCAACTTCATCCCCATTGTTTTCACTGTCACACACCCTGCCCCCACCACCCCACTTCTGGCTGCGGTATTTCAAGCAATGCCTGTCCTCGGTCAGGACACACGCAGCCACTGTCACCAGCCTTTCCTGCTACAACCTCAGCTATGTTCAGTTTTTCCCAGAGCACAGTGCTCCGGGCTGGCTGTAGCCTCCAGGCACACTCCCTTCCACCCACACACCCTACAGATCTGCTGGGCAATAGCCCTGGGCCAGGCCCTGAGCCGGCACCTGGGAACTCTGCCCCGAGGCACCTCAATCGCTCTTGCAGACTTCTGGGGTTCAAGGAGATGGTCCCACCACAGAGGCAAGACCACAGGAGGGGGGATCTGCAGGAGGGGTCCCCACAGCCTTCCGAAGCTTCCCTCACCTGGCTGATATCCAGATGCTTCTCCAGGTCGAAAGAGTCATTGAGCTGCAGGACCCTCCAGAGAGCGGCCCCTTCCCTGCACTGCCTGGGGAGCAACAGCGGGCATCAAAGATGAGAGAAAGGGATGGCAAGTGGGGGTGATGTCACCCTAACGGGACAGCCACCTTGGCTCCTTCTCACACCCGGTCCCCCAGCCCCGCCTTTCCACTCACTGATAGGCCAGGAGGACGCTGATGTCCTTCTTTAGGCCGAGAAGCTGAGACAAGTTCATGGATGAGGGCAAGTTCCCAGGGGTGTCTGCAAACTGGAGGTGGGAGAAAGGGAGAAAGGCCTGGAGCAGGTGGGGGCAAGGTCGTCCCAGGTCCCAAGGGCCTAGTCCCATGCTGCCCTGGCACAGCGGAGACCGCACCCTGAGACTCCAGCCCAAACCTGCCTCGAACTCAAATCACCCCTGGGCCCTAACTCCTGGCAGGGACTCTTCCCATGAATCTCTGGGAGGGGTGGCCAGCCTGGTCTTCAGCAGAGACTCTGCGCCGGCATCTTGGCTCACCTGCTCAAAGTGCTGGGGAACCAGGATTCCCAGTTCAGACTCAGTGTTAGAACAGAAGGGGTCAGGCCTGGGGGATCCCCGGGGGTC